TACGTGGGGCTCCCTTTGAAGCTGATGCGGAAACTTCAGGTGGTGCAGAATGCGGCAGCCAGACTCCTCACAGGAGTGAGAAAATGCCAACATATCTCTCCTACTCTGGCCATGCTGCATTGGCTGGCCATCCATTTCCGCATTGACTTGAAAGTGTTAATGCTTACATATAAGGCCCTAAACGGTTTAGGACCTCGATACTTGATGGAACGCCTGCTTCCACCTAGATCTACTCGGATCACCTGCATGAGCCAGGAGGAGAGGCTGAGGAGCCTAACGACGAGGGAGGCCCGGAAAGAAAGGACACGAAACCGGGCCTTCTCGGCGGTGGCTCCTCGCCTCTGGAACAATCTCCCTCCTGAGATCCGCGCGGCCCCCACTTTGGACACTTTTAAAAGTCAATTAAAAACATGGCTATACATTTAGGCCTTCCCTCCAGTTAATATCTGACTTTTCTTTATTCTCTCCTTATGTATTTTCTATTCTATTGTTGTATTCTGTTTATTACAATATGATTTATGTAATTGTGTGTGTTTTTTATATTATTTCACTGTTTTTACTATATTGGAAGCCGCCTAGAGTGGTCTTTTAGACCAGATGGGTGGGATATAAAATAAATAAATAAATAAATTTCTGGAAGGCCCACTGATTTAGTGAGCCTCCTCTAGTTGTGATTTACTACTGGATTTCAGCCAGTGCAACCTAAAATGTTGTTCCAGAAATTATGGCTGGAATCTTGTTGGATTCGCATGCGTAATTTAAAAATTGTGTTGTTGGTTTCAAATCACTGCTTGGCCATTGAAATTCTCTGGTGCATGTGTGTGGAACTGGTAAAACTATTCCTTAAATATTTCACTTACTTTGAAAGTCCTATTAGGGTTGCTGTAAGTTGCTTTCAACTTTAGAGTGCACTACATGCAAATAAAATTACAGACCCACTGTGGCTAACTTCTGCTACTAAGTTAACTAGTTGCATGACAAAAGTGTGCAATTGTTTTGTTGGTGGCTACACATATAATGCAACTAGCATCTTCCGAGTTAGCAATTTATTATGAGTTAACAATTTACCTTACATATGAGAGGGCTTTTCCAAATTGGACTGTGGTGCTTTGTTGCTTTTAAATGTGTATTTAGTATTGATTTTATTTACCATTTTGATATTATACTTTTTTCATTATTTTTAAAATATTTTTATATTTGTTCTTAGCTTTTAAATATTGTCCTTTTAATGTTATAAGCCACATTGGGTCCTTTTGAGGAGAAAGGTGGGGTAAGAATATTTAAAATAAATATGTACTGTATCGAACAGAATTCTAGTCATTATCTGATTAAAGTGATCACCAATATAATTTTGCTCAAAATACATGAGATCTTGTTTGAGTAAGCTAATCTAATAATTGTTAACTGAATTGCATTAGAATAGCTGACTATAGGGAAAGTACTGAATACTGAAATAATGATTAATGATTTTAGACAACGGTCCGATATGGTCTGAAATCTTAATATTTTCTGAATCATATTTGAATTCACATGAAGTGTCATACATAACTTTAATCTACTTTAATAGCAATTTCAGCAACTCTATAGGACATGGGTCTCCGAACTACGGCCTGCGGGCCACATCCAGCCCACCTTGTCTTTTTATCCAACCTGGACATAAGAGGGAAAGGGGACCCAAATGATCCCCCACCCCTGCTGTCTTTGCAAAGATAGCAGGGGTGGGGATCACTTCAGTCCCCCTTCCCTCCTCTTCTCATGCCCGAGCCAGGAGTGGGGATAGAAAGATGAGCAAAGCCTGATCTAAGCAATTCCCCACCCCCGCTGTCTTTGCAAAGCTAGCAGGGGTAGGGGATTGCTTGGGTCCCCCTTCCCTCCTTCAGCCCTCAAAATGTGTAAAATACGTGGCCCTCATACTGAAAAGTTTGGAGACCGCTGCTATAGGCTGTCCATTGTCTGAAGCATATGACTAGAGAGGGAGAAGTTGAAGTAGGAATTGATGGTGTTTGGCAATTGGTGAGTCGCTGATTACAGTGTTGAACATTTATTAAAAATAAAAGTTAATGAAGCAAATTGAAATCTTAATTGCATTCTTTAAATAAGCAGGCAACTGTTACTTTAAAGCCACGTTAGCTGTGCAGAAAAGCAGTGGAAAACTGCATGAAAGAATTAATGTGAACAATTCTGTAACCATTTAAGTAACCAAAATCTTTTACTCTAGCTGGAGTTTCACCTTGTTTTTATACCATGGGAGATCCTGTTTGTTCAATCTTAGAGCACAGATTTCTCCAGCTCTTCAGGCAGATGTAAACTCTCCTCTACCCAGCACATGCATGAGTTAAAGATTCACACCACAGAAGCTGAAAGCAGTGGTTTATTAACATTTCAATAAATATGTGTTCAGTCTCTTGCCAAGAAGCAGAAATGAAAGAAAAACCAAGATGCCTGATCTAAAACTCCATTGCCAGCAATGGAAAAAAGAACCCCAACAGATCAATAGTGCTAGGATGCTAAAAAGATAGGTCTCCTCAAACAATCACATTGACTTAAAAAAGGCCTCCTGCAACATAGCTTGAAGGCTAAGATAGATTCCTACCTTGTAGGGCTAATTTAAGTTTTAAGAATAAGGTACTACAGAAGTCTTGGACTTTACTGCTTCAGAATGCATGACTACATACCACTATTCAGAATGTTCTCAACACAGAAGGTTATCAGATATTTGACTAGGACTTCCATTGTAAGGCAGCTTTTCAAACAAAACATCTGAGTCCAGGAAATATACAACCTCCCAACAGATTTCTGCAATACTACATTCCTAGAACTGTATAATACAATTTTTAATGCACAGAACAGCTTTGAATACTAGTTTCTCAGTATGCTGTCACAGAGTACTATAGGTTTAATATGCAACCTTTTCTGGTTCTTCACAGAAGAAAAAAAAAAGGTCTTCACTGACAATTCCTGTTTACGTTAATTCTTCACCAAAAACAGTGACATATTTAAAACATGACTGTGGTCTAATAGACTACTAAAATTCTGGTAATTTCATGTTAGAGGAATGAAACAAAGTGGTGTTAGTGCTGCTTAGACATGGGCACTTCATGTTTCCCTGGGTGAGGCAATCCAGTGAGGGGGGGATGACAAGCCTCTCCGCACAAGGAGGCATGGAAGCCCCTACCAGGCTATGTCCACAACTGGTGCAGAGGGGGGAATGGTGGCAGCGTGCAAGTGCATGCCTGGTTGCAGGGGAGGAAGGTTTAATCAGGCTGGCCAATATTGCATTTAAATCCCCCATCTTTAAAGAAATACAATACCTTTTGCATCAGTTGTTCATACATGCTTGTGAGGTCCATGAAGCATCCAAAACTGAAATATTCATTTCTATTAACTAGTCAGGGAGGTTAAAAATAATGAGAAAGTGATCCCTCTCCTAAAACATCCGCCTATTTATTCTTGAATGCCTGAAACCCTATTGTGCAGCTTTACACAATACAGTGAGAATGATGTCATCAGCCACATCTGTTTTGGGGCCAATAAAAGAAGCTTCCTAGAGTCCCTATCCACATTTCAGAGAACCTCTGGGGGTAGGATGATTTAAAGCTGTAAAACTGCTCCCACTGTGACTGGTCCCACCTCTGGGACTAGAAGCGGTTACTTTGGTTATAAATCAATCCCTTTTTCAGTTCCATAACTCCCCAAAGCCACAAGTATTATTATAGATCCCCAAACCTGGGTAGAGGCTGTAGCAAGCTTCTAATTGTACTGAAACAGCCATGGGACAGCCACAGCTAATGATACCATTGTTGCATGGCTCTATAACCAGAATTTCAGCCACTGTTAATCTCAAAATCTCTTTGGATCTGAGCCATTTTAAATCATGTATGTTTAAAATGTGCTTTAAACAAAACAAAGTAAAACAGCAGATCAAACAATGGACTGCAGTTATCAGCATATACAACAGTTTAAGAAATACTACTACAAAAATCATATTCCATTCTGGGATAAAATAAAGTCCTGACTAAACCATGTTACTAAATTAAATTGTGAACATCATTCTGCAGTTTCTCTAACCCAAGTGGGATCCTTTGGTATACTTTTCTGTGATTTAGAATCCTGGAAGTTTTCTGCAAATCGCTCTCGTGCTTTTTCCCAGTTCCTTTTGTTCTTGGTATTGATGATCTGAACTTCTTCAGTAGATACAGGAGTACTTGAACCCAGGCCTGCATGTTTTCTGTGCATCTGAAGTTTGATCTGTCAGAAATTGAATTCAATTCAGTGCTTGATAACACATGTTTTATACAAGCATACAATAAATAATCATTCTGTAAACTTGAATGTTTGGCTTGAGAATAGTGGCATATGGCAGCCTGAAAATCATGGTCTTGTTCATTGACTAAAATAGTGTTAATACATTAGGTTTGAACAAAGACAGAAGCTTTATCTCATTACATATATTAACCATCTTATTCATGCAGGTTTGACTGTTACTAACCTACTGTGTATATCCTAAATGATTGTACCAATATGACTATGGGACATTCAGGTAACTTCTTGCTTTTGCTCAAACACACTCTTGAAAGCAGAAATCATTGCTTTAATGCTGGAGAATAACCAGCTTGTGAAGCCTTGCTACTCCCAGGATGTTTATGCTAACCAGTCCTTTGAAAGTTCATGACCAGTGCTAATAATGTCTTCTTCTGTATTCCATTTCATTCTATCCCATTATGATAACCGTAACTACTGCACATATAAACCTGTAGCTTGAATACTGTACTCCATGCATCTGACATAGTAAGCTTTGTCCATGAAAACTCATGCCAAATAAAACTTGTTAGTGTTAAAGGTGCCCCAAGATTATTTGATGTTTCTGCTGCAACAGATCAGAATTTTCACTCAGCTACAGAGATAACAGTTACCAGGTCATGGCATTGTTTGTTTGAAAAGGCCAATTGACTATATGTTTGTTTGATCAAAACCATGGATATCCCTTCTTTTTATAGTTTATGCAAGAAAGGCCTAAAAACAGTGTGACACCATCTAGTTTCATAGCCAGGTTAGCCATGAATAGAAAAGCTTGTGTAAATTATATCAGTCCAAACACATGCCTCAAATTTTTTGTATAGCTCTGTCAAACTGGTTTTGCAAGAGTCCAATGAATGAGACTCCAGTTTCCTAGATAGCTTAATCCACGGCAGAACAACGTATTTTGAAATATTTAGATTTTTTTCCTATTATATAACCAAGAGACAGGCACCCCTCAGTTTTAGATTCAATCCAAATCTTAATAACCACATATCTATTTCCTTAACCATTCAAGTGCTTATTTATTTGTTTTCCTATATTCATTATTGTTTTCCCACATGCCCATCATCAATTAATAAAATATGTTTATTAGTCTGCTCTCCTACATCCAGTAAACATATCAGAAAACTACAAGAGTACCATGCCAATAGCTTGAGTACTATCCTATACACTTCTACTCTTAAAAACATTTGACTGATTTTAGTGCATGTTACTCCTATAAACAATTATATGATTGGAACCTAATGTCTGGAATCTGTACACTGAAGTAGACATACCGGATCTTTCATTCCACTACCGCTCTTTCCAAGCCCTTCTCCTTGCTTCCATCCCATCTTCTCCAGCATTTTATGACCTCTGTTGCTATCACTAATTTTACTTTCAAAACAAAATGTAAAAACAAAAGGGAAGAACATTATTTTAAATTTTTACTTCTCACAATTTTGGACAAATGTATTTCTCATACAACCTAAATAACTAACAGTATATTAGGCAATTGCTCATCTACCAGTGTTCTTATTAATGTATAATTGTGTCTATATATATGCAGAATTGTGGTTAATTGGTGGTGCCTATTTTTATAACTACTACATCAATCCAGATTAATTTGGATTATTTTTAGTTTGTTACCATCCTTATTCAAGGTACTGATTATTACTTCTAGAAGTGTAAATGGCCTGAGCCAATGATATGTAAGACATGACTTCCACCTGCACGAACTCCTGCATCAATTGTCTGCAGATGCCCAGTTCCATATCCTACTAAGAGAAATTGTCCAGGATACAAAACAGAGTCTTTTTAGTCCCAGCACCTCAGTTATGGAAACTTTTGTTATCATTCAGACAGGGAGCTGAAACATGTTGGTTGTGGCAGGCTTTTAGTAATTTTGAATCTCATCTGTGAGGAAATCATTTTTAGTTGCTTCATTTTTGCTAGTGTGAAAATCCATAAAATATCCTTATCAAGACCAGCTAAAAAGCTGCAACAGTGTTCAAGTTTTGCATTCTCATCAGTTAAGGAGTGAGGAAGAAGCCACATCCTTATAGATGATGTAGCCATGAGGCCTTATGGCTAGTACCAGGACACGGTAATCTGAAGGAGTCACTGGTAGGTGTGCAAATACCAGACCTAGCTATGCATACTGGCATGAGGAGGCAATAGTTGGTTTTTATTTCTGAAAAGACAGGAAGCATACCAGGACAGTTACCACTGGGTCACGTTCACACTGTGAAGTCTTTTGCGACAGCCTCAGAATCTGGGCTGATATGTAACTTCTTGCAAACCATTGTTTTCTGGTAACTATGGTGTCCACAATCAATATAACAATCACTGGCAACATAATGGGAAACTACAATTACATTTTGATACCTAAAGGGTTTTCCTGTACTTTAGGATTAGTTGTAAGTAAAACATGATTTGTGGTTTAATAAATTGAATTGTGAATGTTGTGCATTGTGTATATGCTAAGAAAGAAGATCTATGAAAATCACAGAAATAATGTGTGCTAAGAAACAAGATACATGAAGATCACAGAAAATCAAGTCACTTACATATGTATGGATGCTGGTGCATCATCTCTGTGAAAACTTCCTTCACTGCCAACTATCTCACGGCGCTTTTCTGCTCTGTCTGTGTAGTTTGGATTTTTCAGGACTTTATCATTTTCATATTCTGAATTCTTTTCAAAATATAGATCATTATCATATTTGTAATAATTTTCTTCCCAACAAAGAGACTTTCAAATAACATATTTAAGCACATGCATTCTCTCCTTTCCACTCTCTGCTTATCCCCCCTCACTTTTAGGACGCATTTCACAAGAAATTGTTCTACACTATGACTAGAATTCTAGAAATACTCCACAATTTTGTTAAAACTTGAAGTGTGAAAAAAGTCAAAATGTTGGCTACAGTGTTAAATACTTTCTAATGGAGGGGAAAATGACAAGGCAGGAAAACGACAGCACAAATTTATAAGATATGCTTGATATGGAAGTAGTACCATATTTTTCGCTCCATAAGACGCACCTCTCCATAAGACACACCAAATTTTTAGGAGACGAAAACAGGAAAAAATAATGTTTTCTTCTCCTAAAAACTGGTGAGCCTTATGGAGAGGTCCATCTTATGGAACACAGCCTAGGGCCCTTTGGAGGCTCACCCAGCCCCCCCCCCAGGGGTGCAAGGGG